ACCCTACCTCCACTTCCCCGGATCCATCATCCACCATCTTCTGCTGGGCGGCCACCTGGGGCGTGGCGTGCAGCGTGGTGGCATCGAACTTCACCTGCTCCACCTTGGCTGTGGGGAAGGGCAGAGGGCTGAGCCACAGGCCCCCTCCTTCCAATCCAAGGAGTCCTGCAGCGTCGGAAGAGGACACTCACCCACTCTGCCCACAGTGTGGGTCTTGCCCAAGCCGCTGGTCTGACTGGGGACAGTCCATTTTTGGAAGAGCTGCCTGAAGACAGTTGACTCGGACCCATCATTCTCTGTCTCCACGCTGGTGCTTTCTGGGTAGTTCTTGGCTTTGATAAAGCCCTGGAGGGGTTTAGACCCAGAGTGTAGACATAGGGTGCCTGGCACCCTAGGGAGCAGCCAGGCTATCCGATAATCAACCCCCAACCCAGCACCCACCAGCGCCCTGCTCATCGCCTGCTGCTTCTCCTCCTTGTTGGCATTCTTGCCCTTCCACACGAAGATCTTGAGACCTGCTTGATCAAGGATGTAGCAGTCCTTGGAAGGGAACAGCAGCAGAAATTAGGACTTTGAGCAGCTTTAACGTTGCAAAAATTTGCCCACCAAATCAGCTTTTGAAGAGTTAAAGCTGCCAAGGAGATTGGGCAGTCCCAAGCGTCCCGCGGGTGACACACCTCATGCAGGAGCATGTCTTGAGTCAGGGGTCGAATCCCCACCTCCTGCATGATCAGATTCCCGCTGGCATTGGAGACGCTGTCAGGACCAAAGAGAAGAGGAGGAGTTAGAAACAGGGCTGGAAAAATCCCGTCCCCACCCTAGGGTGGCAGGGGCTGAGTGGGGCTGTCCCATCCTCTTCCCCACCCTGGTCATGGCAGAGATGGTGCCCAGGGGCCCTCTTGCCCTGCCATGGTTTGCAGCTTACCCTGCTGTCCTGCTGTGCAGCTTACCCTGCTGTGCAGCTCACTCAGGGCCACGGGGAGAGACAAACGGGTATAAGATATGATGGTGCCACTCAAGGACATCGCCATCATATCCAAAGGTCACACTTGAGCAAGCATCTCCCCATCAGGTACCAACCCTGTCGGCACCAGGCACTCCCCGTGCTCAGATGGCATCCAAAGGAACTGTCCCACCCCTGTGGTGGCCTTGACTCCCCAGTGGCTGTCCACAGGGATGAGAGATGTGGGACATAGCAGATGTGGGTGCTGGGTCCCTCAGACACGCTACAAAGCACCCCTGCTGGTGACCCACCCCCAGCAACTCACTGGTACAGCTTGAGGGCAGAATTGAGCTTCTGGTCCACTTTGTCATCAGGGGTGGCTGCCTTGATTTCCCTCTTCTCGCCCAGCACGTGCGTGAGGACCTGCATGAGCCCCGGCGAGGCATCCTCATCCTCACCGTCCACTACGCCCACCTTGGCACGGCCACCGCGCTCCCGGTCTCGAATGTCCTTGGCCAGGGTCATCGCCTGCACCCAAGGGGAGAAGAGGTCAGTCAGGACTGAGGAGGAGGTGGCCAGTCACCCCCTTTCCCAGAGGACCCTGGGACCCCCCAGACGTACCTTCAGCCTCTCATTTCGGTTGCTCTCAGGGCCGTTCCACTGGACGATGAGCTGGCCAAGGTCCAGCAGGAACACATGTCTCGAATGTCCTTGGCCAGGGTCATCGCCTGCACCCAAGGGGAGAAGAGGTCAGTCAGGACTGAGGAGGAGGTGGCCAGTCACCCCCTTTCCCAGAGGACCCTGGGACCCCCCAGACGTACCTTCAGCCTCTCATTTCGGTTGCTCTCAGGGCCGTTCCACTGGACGATGAGCTGGCCAAGGTCCAGCAGGAACACATCCCCCCTGTTGAAGCTTTTCCAGCTCACCTCCACCTAAAACAAGATTGGGGTGGGGAGGAAGCCGAATAGCAAGACACCTGTGTCCCCCTGGGTCTGCAGCCCCCACCTGCCCTGTCTCGGTGCTGATGCCTCCAGCCTGTAATTCCTGTTCCCTAGCCCAAGAGAGACTTTTTGGATGTAAAGTTGCTCCTGAGGCAAGGTGGCACGGCCTCACACCCATTCTGTGCCCTACTTGAGGGCTGTGTTGCTGGGGGGGCTCTGGTCCTATCTGAACCCCAAACAGCGTCTCTGCTGTGTGGGGACCCACCCTTCACATGCCATAACTCACCTCTGCTGCTATCACGTTCTTCTTGCCCTTCACATGCAGCAGGCGCTGGATGTTGTAGGTGTTTGTCTCCACATGCTTCATGCCTGAGGCCACTCCACCCTTCTTATAGCTGAGGGGGACAGACACAGCGTCAACCCTGGGCCCCCCCTGTCTCACTCCAGGGGTGTCTCTCCTGATATGCCCATGCACAGGGAGATGTTTGTGGACCCCCCCTCACCCATGTAGGTGATGGATAGAGGGAGAGCAGCTCCAGATCCTCCTGCTGCCTCCCCCACCCCACTGGGACAAGGCTGTCCCAGATCCCCACTGGGACAGGACACGCA